CTACTTTCCTGGTACGTTAAGCAAAATTAAAGCATTTGTCAAAAAGGGCGAAGGTTACAAATTCTCAAAATATGAACGAAACCCTTTTAAAATGCCTGTTTCTAGAAGAATTTACGAGAAACCGTTTGAGAATGTGTTCATCGATGTGTATGTGAAAGACCATCATAATTGACCCAATAGTAATCATCCCGATAGGAACAGCTAAAATCAGCAACAGTTACTTGAGAATTGGGCATCATATAAATCTTAATTCACTTGCAGAGACAATCCAAAACCTAGACACAATAATCGAAAACCAAATTTCTAAACAGCAAATGTTAAGTCCAATATTAAAAGTAAAGTCAGGAAAACTCCATTCAAAGTACAATAAATTGAGACCCTCTAAACAAAAGCTGTGGGAAAGTTTAGGCCGCGCTTGGAAATATATAACCGGCAGCCCGGATGTTGAGGATCTAAAAATTAACAGTACAGTTAATTCTCTCATTGATCAAAGCAAAAGACATGTTCAAATGCAATACTAGAGACCAGAATGAGAAATACCACAGAAGCAATCAATACATTCGTTAAATTTCATGATAGATTTCAAAATAAAACCATTGAAGGTTTGAAATCAGTTAATTTGATATTTCTTTAGATGAATTAATCAATCAGTTAGGACTAATAGAAGAAGCGATCACACTAGCCCGACGCAATATCCCCAGCAGCCGCATCATTTCACCAGACGAGATAACCATAGCCCAGGAATTCCTCAGATTCAGTGGTCTTAAAGGGTGATACGGTCAAAATTTGGTCAATATCAACTTGACGTATTTCTTTCAATTTTGCATTTAAAAAACCTGAACACCCCTCATTTTGAAGGTGTGTGTGTGTGTAGAATGTTGCTCCTATTTTGATTTTGGAATTCACTCTTCAGTTGTCAAAATGCCGTCCAAGCAAGAAGAGCAGCGTATCAAAATTTTGCTCGCGCATCGCGAAAATCCGAGCAACTCGCACGCAAAGTTGGCAAAATCGCTAAAAGTTGCCAAATCAACCGTTACAAATGCAATTAAAGTGTTTGGGGAACGTTTGTCGACAGCCAGGAAGTCTGGATCGGGGGGAAATCGAAAACCGGAAGCCGCTGAGACGACAAAGAGAGTTGCCGGTAGTTTCAAGCGAAACCCTAACCTCTCTCTCCGAGATGCCGCAAATAAGCTGGGTGTATCGTCTACAACCGTGCATCGAGCCAAAAAACGAGCCGGACTATCGACTTACAAGAAGGTAGTGACTCCAAATCGCGATGATAAACAAAATACGACGGCCAAAGCGCGATCCCGGAGGCTGTACACGACGATGCTGACGAAGTTTGACTGCGTGGTAATGGACGACGAAACCTACGTCAACGCCGACTACAAGCAGCTTCCGGGACAGGCGTTCTATACGGCAAAAGGAAGGGGAAAGGTAGCAGATGTTTTCAAGCACATGAAACTGTCAAAGTTCGCAAAGAAATATCTGGTTTGGCAAGCCATCTGTACCTGTGGCTTGAAAAGCAGCATTTTCATAGCTTCCGGGACTGTCAACCAAGAAATTTACGTGAACGAGGGTCAGAACGCGTCCATTGCAGCAATGGACGCAAAACGTGGTCAGCACTCACACACTCATCACGAAACGGTTGCTTTCCAAAGTCGACGACGCATCGACCGAAAGAACTGCTGATGAAGAACAATGAGGAGGACCACACAATGGTTGCTGCCGAGATAACAGACGATCGCGTAGCACACATCCAGAGTGGCCTACTTTTGTCGACAGCCGAGTGAACACTGGATAGCGGAAGATAAAATGTTTATTGTGTTGTACCTTTTGACTATAGTTTTAAGAACAATAATCCTCGGCTCTGTAAAGTTAATTCGGTTAAGCCTTATCAAATAAATTAATAAAAAAAAAAAATCAATACTTCACATTGATTGATGTTTTGGCTCCCACTGACAGTTTGTGATAGCTCATTTCTGGCTTCACTTGACATTCGCATTTTCCGAGTCTGTTTTTCCCTCCCAGCTCCTCCCTAATTGAAGCAAACCATTTGTAAACATTGCAGATTTTAACTACTTTTGACAGTTCGATTTGAATCATAACAGTGTCTCCGCTGGTCTCTTATTCCAGTGTTTCTAGTTACTCACTGATTTCTTATAGCGAATTCGTTTATTATCAGTGCGAAACCGAACTTTTTGTCAGTGCGAACCTCAACCTGAGCTAGGTTTTAAAAACAAACGAGCAAACTGACGTTTGTCAGAAAACAAGCAGACCCAATCTTGATACCCGATCCAGGTTGGAACTGAATAATAAACGAATTCGCTATTAGATGCACGCTCCCCGCCCAACTGAAAGTCATGCGCCCTCATGCAGAAACGCCGTTTATTCCAATATAGAGCGATTCCATACACGGTAAAAAAAAACATCATGTTCATGTAAAGTGATTTGCTGGTGAATTTGCACTACTTGCCAAATATTGTAATTCGATGTGCAAATCCCTTGGAATAAATCATATCGAAGCACAAAGAAAATAGCAGCAAATCACAGCAAGTTGTTGCTGTAGTCAATAAAAGTGTATTATTCAAATAATTTCAATTAGAAAACAGTGTCAAACTTATCAAATTTATTGCTCAATGTCTCACCTTTTTTCTACTAAAAGCCTTCCGATGTTGTTCAATGTCACTTAGAAACATGTGATCTGGGTAGTAATATGATATGGTCATATTCTGAATAACATGTAACAAGGCTTGCAGTATGAAGAGGCTATATATTTATTTAAACCCATTTTCAGCAAAAAATTAATCCAAGGATAAATTATTTAAAATTAAAATGATAGATTGTTAATATCAGTATGGTTGACATTTCGAGTTCAAAGCACAGCACATCAACAACAATGTGCAATACAATCTAAAATGAAGTGATTTGCTGTTAATTTCACCGTGCTTCGATATGATCTCTTCCAAGGGATTTGCAATTCGAATTGCATTGTTTGGCATGTAGTGCAAATTCAACAGCAAATCACTTCACATGAACATAATGTTTTTTACCGTGTAAACTTTAAAAAAAATCACCTTATAAAAATAAAAGCTTAATAATAGTGATAATTCGATTTTTGTAACTTTTTATTTTTGATATGTTTTAGGGTGTTGCATTCGATACAGATAAATTGAATCTGGACACACTGGTCATGGGAGGAGAATAAAAGAAAGAGTCAACCAATGTAAACGCGTGTGTTTTGATTCAATTCGATAATCTAATCCCTGGTCAAAGATACAACATTTGGCGACGAGGATAAAAATAAAATCCAGAGTGAAAACGGTCCGGAGGTTGATAAAATTCGTTCGGAAGATTAAGTGGAACTTGAAATCAAAAGAAAGTAGGCTTCGGAAATTGCGTTTCATCAAAAGCTGCATATAAGGAAATGGTGGAGGAACTGCACGAAAAATAAACTACACGAAAAGGCCTGAAGAGGAGTTTGGAAATGCTTTGACGCTCACGCCAACCCTACTGCTGCGAGTTGTAAACAATACAAGGAGAGAAGAGAAATTTAATAGTGCGCGAAACGGTCTGCATAGTTCAGTCCGTCGGAAGATAAGTAAAAATGGAAAATCCTGCCACGTCTAACCTCCCGAGATTCGATCCCAGTGACACATCGACAATATGTAATCGCTGGAAGAAGTGGAAACGCTGTTTCGAAATTTTCCTTGAGGTAAACAATGTGACGATACCCTCCCGGAAACGCATGCTACACTATGCGGGCAGTGATGTTCAGAATATATTTTTCAATCTGCGTGGTGAAGAAGAACTTCCAATACCGGAAGGATCCGATTTGTATAAGGAATCGCATGATCAACACCTTATAGAACAAAATTAAAATTCATTCTATCTCCAAGCTTGGTCGCGTATAGTTGATTCGTTCGAATAAACCTGGAAGTCCGTAAGGACAGGTATTACTAAATTACTTCCCTCTTTGTTATTCCAAATTGTCGAATTCTCGGTATAAATACAACTTAGCAATTTTAAGTCAAATGAGCTATCGGTGCATTTAAACATTCAATAAATGGTTCTCATAGCATCGATGTTTTTTTTTCCTTGATTTGTTTTCTGTCGATCTTGTTTTCCGTGTTGAGCACTAATGCTACCGACGCCAGCGAGGCAGCTCCCACACCTGGACCCTATCTATTGACTCATCAACTCATGAACCGGGGACCAACGGCTTTACTTTCCTTCCTTTCCTAACACCTCTACTGAGGATTCATATTTCTAAAAAAAATCATCTATCAATGAAACAGTCATCGGTCGTCATTGGAAAGCAATGCACCTATGTTCTGTCAATCTAATTGAAACTTTTATTGGCTCTGTTGTCTTGTGAATTTTACCTATAACGTTCGTAGAACAAATACTTTAACATTCTACTCTTTTAAAGATATCTTCGAGCATGAAACTTAGTCAAACTTCAATGATTTTAATAGTCAACCTTTAGTCACAAAGTTGGAAGATAACACATTAAGCTTTGCTATGTAACTGTACATCGCGAACATTTCTGTTAAAATGAGCAGGTCTAGTACTCATGCTATAATATCTCACAAATTAAAACTATAATATATGGTGATGTTACGTCTCGGTTGAACAAACCCCTCCTCCCCCGTTTGTCACATTTGGTCACGTTTTCTTAAACGACCTTTCTCCCCCTCTACACTTGACGGAATTAATGCGTGCTCCTTAGCTGATGATCAATATCATGGATTTCAATCATCGGCTGTTAATCTCAAAACACAACATGTTCTATCACATCTCCATAATGTAGACAAAACAATCAATCAATCACATGTTCAGACACGACGACACAACTCAAATCCAATTATTATTTTCTTTTAGCCACCTCGATTGATTATTTTAACTTGCATTTTTTTTCTTTCCGTTACAAGGGCTTTAACATTTATCAATAAACGCTTCGTTCTTCTTCACTTCCTGTAGATTAACCACCAACTAACCTTAAATAATAGGACATATTGTCGGTTCGATTGGCACCGTCGCCGCAATTGTCGTTGTCCTGCAAAAAAAAATGAGAAAGCATAAAAAATCAGCAACATTAATTGAAACCGATTTCGAATCCGAATGGTTGCGAAAAAAAGCCGTTAATTCGATTAAATTCCCACCATAATATCCCACATTTGTGCCCCATCAACTGAAATCAACATTTGAATCGAAAACATTGAACTGCAGAAGCGAAAAATAAAATTATATTGCGTTTTCCATTTTTTTTTTATCTCCTCCTTCATGTGCAACTATGCAAAGCTCAAAAGCGACCAGTGATGATTGCCGTCCGCTTCTCACTTTTGATGAAATTCAATTTGAGGATCACCGACATAAATATTTAATTTGAATGCTCTCACGTTAAGCACGGCTCCACGCCAGGTGGAGGGGATTGTCATTTACGCACAAATGAAAAAAAAAAAAAGAAATGAATCTAAGGGGATAACCGCTTACCACGTGTGATTTCGAGACCAAAATTCAACCGGGAAGCTGCTGCCTCAATCCAGCCACCAGACTATCACATTCCACTGCACGCAAACAGAGGCGCGAGAAAAAAATGCCGTCGTCAATTTTTCCGTGTGTATTTTTTTTTATTTGTATTATTTATTTTTCGTCAAAGTGGACACAAACCGGCGGAAAAATCGTTGTGGTCACGCGAACCGAAAGATTGAAACTGAGCGGGAGAGAAAACGATGTCTCAAGGCAGCCAGCAAAAACGAAGACGTGAAAAGTGTGGTGATCCTCAGCCGGGGAAAAAAAAAACCTTGAGACGTTGGATTTTTTACCTCTCCTACGTTTGCCGGCCAGTATGAATGCGTGATCGCACATTGGCCGGTGTGCGGATGGGCGATGTTGCGATTCTTAAGAGGGAGCGATTTTTGGTTTTTCGGTTTTCCTAGCGGCCTAGGGTGACCAGTTGATGGAAATGTAATGAAGGTGGCATTTTGGGCAGCTGTGTGAACATAATAAATTGTTTTGGTGATTTTAAGCTGTTAAATTTAACTCGCTAATCAAGGATGGCATAAATTGAACATTTATGGCGGTAAGCTCCAACTCGGATTAATTTTCAATGCCGTTCCTGTTTGGATAATCTGCAAAGTGTTTGCTTAGGGGCTGTTCATTAACTACGTATACATTTTTTTTTGGGATTATTGACCCACCCATCCTGCGTAGACAATTGTCCATAAGCAATTTTTAAAATTTGTATGGCCCGTGGATAATTGCCAACGACCCATTAGGCCCCTTATTGCGGTAAACTCTATCGAGGATAATACCATAGAGGTAACTCTAATACCAGAAGAACTCAAAGAAACGAGCTCAGCTTTTTGGCTCAGCTCTGGTAATCTCTTCGGTCCCATGCTAATCGATGCACCCCTCGAAAATCCACTAACCTCTCATTTTATCTGTCAAACTTTCATAGCGAATCAAAACAAACATAGTGTAGTACTAGAACTTCGACTAGAATGGGGTACGTTAATCGATTTGCTTGGGACCAATAGGCTAGTCAAGTAGTGAACCAATTTAAAATCGTTAATTTCCACCTGAGTACTGCGAACTAACTCAAAATGCTTGTCATCTGGGAGCCGATTCGAACTGTCAAACGGGAGCCAAACATTCAAAAGAGCTCAGAAGTCATGTAGGTAGTTACTGTTTGAACCACAAGGTAAAGGTATTGCCACCTACTGAAAACAAATTAAGAATAATAATACCTATATAATGCCACCTACTGAAAACAAATTAAGAATTATAATTATGAAACTGTCGAAACATCAACCATAGTAGGCGGAAAAAGTAAATTATCGAACGTGATGCTCGAATAAGTGTTTTTATTTAATATTAATAATAATGCCAAAACTGGGCTACGAATTGCTGCAACAAGAATTTAATCAAACTTTCTAAGAGTCATGTGAGCTTTGTGGGCAGGTGCACTCCCAACACCATGCATACGTTATTTGTGGAGGAGAGAAGGAGGAGCTAAAATTTCCTCAATTTAATTCTCGGATTTCACTTTAATACCCCGATTTCGGGCAATTCAAGAAAATCCGAGATTTTATAAAAGTACGCAGCCAAAATAAAATCTGGCTCTCTCCGCTATCACACGCACACATGCACAACAAATTTCATTTGTATAAAAAAACAGGATTAGAAATTCTCGCGTCACTTTTCAATAGGTCCTATCTACATTGATCGATTCTCTTCACCATCTTTCTCTTTGAATCGTGTCCGTGATAAGATATTTTCGGATATTTTCGACACACAGTTCGATGGTAGAAGCAAAAATGTAGCATCTAATACGACAAAGACGACATGAAACGTTGTTGTAGCCGAGATATATTACGAAAGAGCAATTCGGTGAAGAGAATCGATTAATGTGAAAATTAACGCGAGAATTGTCCGCTAACGACATCCGTACCCGGCTCTTGAATTCTTATTACAACTATGATTCTTCTTCTAGAATATTACGCCCCATCTGTAACCCCTAGCTGCCTACCTTATAGTACGTTCAGACTACAGAGTTATAACATGTTATAGCGCTATCTTGATGGTGGTTTCTGTATTGAAATTATTTGACAACCGTTATAACATGTTATAACTCTCCAGTCTGGACAGCGTTTTAAACTGAATATTCTTCAAGCACGTCACTGATATCTTTATCATGATATCGAGTTGCTCAGAAATAATTCCAAGGACTTTCAGGATATCCAAGATTGTTTGTGCAAACGTCAATTAAGTGTGAACAACAACAAACAGCTGCTGTTGGTAGTGGAATCAATGTACCATATTCTGTGGTGTATTAAATCCCTATCAAATATCAATACCGTGCCGATTCAAATTTCAGACACTTAAACTCGAATTTCCGTTGATTATCTCGGTCGAATATGATCCACATGTCTTGTAAATTTTAAATTTTTTTGACTAGTGCCCTCCACGATCATCTAACTTTATTACTTTGTTTCTAACTGGATGTAATATTTAATTAAAAATGAAAGTGTCCGAAATTTGAATCGTCCGAAATTTGAATCGGAACGGTAAATTGCAATAGTTCGTATGCCTGCACCACGGTAGGAGTGCCAAATTATCGGTCGTGTTTTGTTTTCATCAGTTATTACACAAGGTGGGAATGTTCTGGCCGTGCGTGATCAAAGGTCTTAATGAAGTCCTCTGCCTATTTTTCCAAGACTTCAGGATGGTCAGGTTTTATTCTGAAGATCTTGAATTCTCCAACCATTCAAATAGTATCTTTCATATTACCAGGCTGGTCAGATACTATTACAAAGTCTTTCAGGATATCAAAGATATTAAGAAAGTTATCTGAAATTTTGTTCAAGACTTCAGGATGAGCAGCTATTATTCTGAAGATCTACACGGAGATGAATAAGTAGTGTTGGCAATCTGAGCCCGCCTATGCAAACCAAACTGGCTAAACTGCGCCGTGAACTGGATGTGCACCGGAAGCGGATGCGTCGGAATAACCTGTCTGCTAAAAGCGTTGTGTGCTGGCGCCGGAATCACGAGACTGTATGTTTTGTACAGTCTCTCTGCGCACATATCAAGCGCCACATGTGAAAAGGGCATATAAGCTTTTTGTAAACAAACCTTTGTAGGCCCTTTTCTCGCCAACAGAAGGTCGCCCACGCAAACCAGCAATATTATTGGGAAGAGGAAAGTGTCCCTACCCGGCGATGTTAAAGGTTTGCGTTGGTGTCATATGGGTGGCGAGAAAAGGGCATAAGAAGGTTTGTTTACAATAAGCTTGTATGCCCTTTTCACATGTTGTTCTGGATATGTCCTGCTGCTGCATGATCGTTCCCGGTAAACTGCCCAACGGTGTATTGGAGCTTTGGTGATGCCGCAGATAGACCGGGGCTTCTCACGAAGAACCACTACCGTCCACGGATGTGTTCTCATAAGTGATGAACCACCTATACCGCTGCTTCTTTCCTGATTGGCCGATGTTGGCAGATGATTTCCGTTTATGATCGCTGCTGCTGCTATTCTTGCTCCTTCAGTAGTGCGACAAGTGTGGTGAAGCCCATGAGGAGTACTTGTCCTTCTGGGAGTATTCGTAGGCAACCAATTCCTTAAACGTATGTATCCCCACGGCCATGTACAGACATTCTCAGGTATTGTCAACACACAGATCGGTAAAAGAAGCTTTTACCGATTTTTTTTTGTTTTTTAAACGAACGATACCCCGTGCACGTCGTTAAGCAAAATAATCATTATAATTTCATTAGGGAAACACGACAAGAAACTGTTATGTGCTCATGTTATTAACGAAAGAGGAAGTCGACGAAGAGAATCGTTCAATGTTACATAGGACCTAAGGCAATGATCAGCATGATATAGTAAATAGACTGAATTGGGTGAAGAGGCGATATCTTATGCATTTGACAGGTCTTCTGCTCGATTGGAATAACTTTTCCTATGACTTTGACAGATAATCGATTGTTCTAATTTTAACATGTCGTATTTTTATAAATTCAGCCTCTTTAGATATAGGTTCCTGTTTTGGCACGTGGAACAAAAAAAAAACAATTAGGGTTAACTACCCCATTTCCGGCCTATTCAGCACAACCCGCACTTAGTCTTTCTTAATCTAGCGCTGTTTAGCACCAAACGAAATTTTATTATCATCGATGGCTTCCAAATTTATTTACCTTTCCGTACGTACCGTAAGATTTGATAAAGAGAAACCAATCGTTGAGATATTGTCAAAAGTCTAACACTGCTTCTTGACGCCAAACTCGGCCTACAGATTCTAAACTCGGCTTAACGCATTGAAACGCCATTGAAACGCCACTGAATTCACTTCGGCCTATCGGATGATGATAAAAATTGATTCGGTCGGAGCGCTTCTTTTGTTTTTGGGAATAATGGGTGCAAACCTTCATATCACGCGTTCTCATTGACTTCGTTCGGTAGCTTATTAACTGAAGTATCGTACCAAACGCATAATTGACTTGTTAACTCTGAAATCATGGATTTATTTGAAGTTTTCTGCTCGATAGGCTC